ATATATGCATTATTGGTCGCGTCAGCGCATTGTTCCACCTGTTAAATTAGGCTAATGTTGATTACAAACGACGCTCCGTCGGATTTAATGTTCTCGATAACAGATCCGCAGATACTTTTCGACGATTTCGTCGCGCGAATGACTATGAAAAATAAAACTGTTCAAATCAATGTAAAAATTACTTTTCATACAATATCCCGCCATGGTATTGTATAAAGTATGAATAAACGCAGCGCATCGTAAAATGATGCACACGAAGAATAATTATAGCAATTTTTCAACCATGCGAGACGTAATTATATTCACATCATACTAATGACCAAAGTGCCTCTCGAGCACGATGTAGAACACAGAATATATCCCACTCACTCGCTACGAGAAATTAATTTTCATACGTGCGTTTTCATTCCGACACAATTTAATTTTCACCATATCTCCGCGCACAATCGCAAACTAAACATAGTAAGCGTATATTTATGTATGCACTTTGTCCTACATTAACGAGATTAGATGAAATACACTTTTCAACGGTTCTTTAGATTAAAATAAACAAAATTAATTCGGCAAAAATAGAACAAGATTATCTCAGAATAATTTTTGACAAAGATTTAAAACCTAGAGCACGAATAACCATTCGGAAATTCTGTCATACGGAACAATTAAAAATCGCCGATTAATTGCTAGCATATATGATTTTATACGAACTCCTACGCACGTGCGCTCTCGATAATTCTATCGATATATCGCCAACACCAATACGATCGTATATTTCGTTTGTTCTAAGACTTTATTCCTTTATTGCATCTGCATGTATGTATATTCGCGTGTGTATGTATACTGAGCTATACCGAGACGCGCGACAAATGCACACACGTGGCCGTACAACGCGCGGATATTCACTATGGTTTAGAAAGTCCGCGAAACGATCGGCTCGCAAACGTTACAACCGTTTCACAACGAATCACCGAGTAAGGTGTGCCCGCATCGAGAAGTATACGGTCTTCACGTATCGAAGAAAGGAATAATAAGTAAATAACGTACAAAGATCTTCGATGCAAAAATCTCTTAAATCTATTATGCACTGGTATTGGCTAGTGATCAATGTTACGTTTGATCCGTAAATACATGCAGCAAGATAACTGTCATTATTAGCACTTCTGCTGAGAAATGTGTAAAACTAACTGTAAATATAATAACCGTTACGAGAGATTTGTGTGCCGCCTACTATATGCGCTGAAGCATATATATATATTTAAGTACCAAATCTCGAGTACCATCGCAATACTAACAAATGACTAAAGTTATCTTTTTGACGACAAGTGTCATAATAAAAATGTTGTTTGTTTTAAAAAATTTTTTTATTGTTTTTTTCATGACACTTGTCGTAAAAGAGATAACTTTAGTCATTTGTTAATATTGCGATGGTAATCGAGATTTAATGCTTTAAATATATATATATATATAACAAATGTATTAAAGAGCATACCAAATCTACAATATTGTCATGTATTTCATAATTAAATCTTTGCAGTTGTATATGTTGATAATTGCTAAAGTAATTTACATGATTCCTGAATTTCGAATGCAAAAAATGAATTTTGATATTCTGTTCTTCCAATGAGGTATATACGAGTGTATAGTTTTGTATTATATTTCGGTGAACTTGCATGGCATGTCAAATAAACCGGAAAACGTAATGTTATCTCCACTCCTTCACTCCGATGTCTTTAAGCGCATACGGCACAATTTTATGTCGCACTTGACGGTCATAAATGTCTTAACGATTCCTTGCCTTTTGAATACTATCGTTAAAGATTTCGTTACATGCTCTTCGTTATGCCCGACGTGTCTAAACGAAAAAAGAGAAATAATAAAAACACGGACTATTCGGCGATATAGTTTCTTCCGAAAGGAAGATAAATCATTATTGTTCAACATCGCTGAAAGTCTTTACTCGGGTTATAAGGAACGCACATTCAAAAACAGGAAGACCCGCACATACATATGCGATTATATGATCGATGATATTATATTATATGTGATTATATATGTATACTATGACTCTAAATTCTGGCATTGTAAAGGATCGCATAGTATTACGCGATTATTTGATGCTCTTGTAACTTCATTCTGCTTCATTACATTACCGCGCATCATAGCGTATATCGCGTAGTCTTCCATACGACTTCTAAAAATATTTAATTATTCTTATCGCGGATTTAATTAGCCATTACCTGGCCGCCTTGTCGCTCAATATTACACGAACACAGCCACAGACGCATGATACAAATAGAAGTAATTAGTCATATTGAATGTGTTAGCGCAATTGGCCTTTCTGTTGATATTAATACGCAAACAAATGCTATAAATCATTTTAATGTGATTACGAGATCAATATAAAATAAAGCGATGGCAAGTGTGTGTAATGTAATCAAAAGTAAGTAATATATATATATTTTTTTTCTTTGTAACTTACTCATGTTTTTCAGAATTTACCAATTAAGGAAGAAGGAGAATCTTCAATATTCTGAAAAGTTTTTTTTATTTGCAAGAAGATATTTTTACAAGTAATATTCACATATAATCTTGCGTGACATGTGTTGCTTGACATTATCTTATATTTTACCACGTATTTTATCATTGCAGATAAGAGTATAATTGATACTAATTAATTGCAGAAATAAAGATTGTAATAATTATTTTCTTTTTTTAGCTGAAATTTTTCACATGAAAAATAATGCAATATTGCATCTTATTATTAATTGCAAAATTACAGATGTATTAATAATATATTTATTATTATCTCTCGGGTTGTGATCACGAGATGCATGATTATGATAATGGAACAATTAATTTTTTTGTTGTTGCAATGTGCAGTTTTAAATCTTCGCATTTTTTATTTCATCAAAAAAAAACTGTGCTTAGCAGATATAAAGTGCACAACTATTGCGAAAAATACTTTGAATAACGTGTAGCTAAGAAGAATTCAATGCTTATATCTCTGCAAGTATAGCATTTCTGTCTTTGAAATTTCTGCGCAATGTATTTTGTGTTACGCTAAAGTAATGTATATTTTTTTAAAAAATCCGGAGAAGGGGGGGGGGAGACAAGCTGCATCTGAATAAAATATTGATGAAAACGCGGGCAAATAAAAATTCACGTCTTCCTTTTAGCAAGGTATAAAAAGAGAACTTAGTTATATAAATGCATAATATTCTCTGCAATTTATCTTTTGTGCAAAACTTAATTAGATATAATTAGAAAAATGAAATTATAATTGATATAATCAATCTTAACGATTATAACAAAGATAATCGAATCAAAAGATAATCGATTATAACAAAGAACATCAAAACATGCAATCTCAGATAGATTAAAAGATATTTCATGATGTCTTCTAATATAATATCTATCAAACAAATATTTTAATCACAAAAACAAGCATTGTGAATATACAATCAATCATCTGAAAAGCCACGTGCAACCTGTACCTCTCTATAGATACCTCTGATACTCAAATAAAAATATTTGCGAACATTTATGAATATTTAATACAACATAATAACCACTTTTTATACCAAATATATATATACAAAAGACTCTATTCTTTATTTAAGCGAATGATTGATGAGATATACATAGCCTGTATCTCAAAGAGATGAAATAAATCTTTTCTTTGTTATAAAAAAATTTGCAGAAATGTATTTCCCCTATACATGTTGCAGCAACCTCTTTTTAATAACAAATATATTTCTATTTTAATTTTATAATGTATAGTTAATATCTATGTGTGTGATGTTCAAAATAAAATACAAGCGTACATGTATAATGGCTTATATCACACAATGTTTACAATATGTATACATTACATAAGCGTAAAAGTTCTTTTAAATGGTTGTGAATAAACGTCTGTGAGCAATGGCATTAAAAATATAACATGGTATAAATTATGCAATTTGACATAAATATTACCGTACTATGTCATTGTAAAGAGTAAAGAAAATTTATCGAAAGTCTATCCCGAAACAATCATGCATAATAAGCTATATCGCGTTCCTTTCATAGTATCGAATATATACATATGTGTTATATCCAAGAGAGCAATCGTAACTCCACATCATTGGAACTAAGCGCATTCAATATCGCCGACTGCATGTAGCGAGCGAACATATAACGATGCGTGCATATAAACCGTCCAAGGTATAAAACTACAAGCGTACGAATTCCTTTTCTCATCGCAAATCGAAAGGATCTTTTCAATGTTATAAAATTCACGAAAAACTTGCTATTTATTTGTATCGTCTACAATATTTTCACGCTTGTAAGAAATAGAACATGAAGTAAATCGTTGTATTAATGTCGAGTGTTCTTTTCCCAGAGAGAATCATTTTTATATTATATTGCTGTTTACAAATAAAATACCAAAAATAAAATATGAAAGGTCGTATACCTGAGAGTCGTAAATCGTGATTTCATGTCTATTTCTTCATCTTTTCCTGCATTTAAATCCCTGTATATTGTTATCCTGTATTATGCAAACATCTCATTTACTCTTTTTATACATTTAACAAGTTGAAAAAGCTATATATCTTACCGAAACAAGTAAATGACTTTACTCGTAAGCAAGCCTTGCGAATTTGATTGTAATTTTTCAGAATGACCCAGACATGTAAAATAACATTATTATCGCGTTGTGTCATTTAGTTTTAACGTGAAATGTTTCGATAACCTGATTTTGCATTCATATCAGTTATAAATATTTAATAACGAATACGTGTTATTCATTCGTATTCTCATTTCCTATCGCGATGTTTCGATCCCCACTTTGACATCTGTACTTTCTAAAGACGAGGTAGAAGCGTTATCTCTCGTCTAGCTAAAATATGACTCGTTGGTAGCGACCATGCGTGTGATGCACATGAAGGGTTCGACCAGCCGCGGCTGGCAATAAACCACCCTCTTAGTAAGTAACTCCATACATTTCCCACCACGATACTCACGTCTTAGCAAATCGATCGTTCGAATCAGCGACGATCTCGCGCTCCCCTTCGTCTCGGTGAACAGAGGAAGACAGGTGTTTGGTTCCCTCGACGAGTTTGTTTTATTGACGTAGCGGTAGATAGGAACCTCTACGTTGACAGCCCCAGTGGCTATCCCCGCCGTTCTCGCGACGTCGAGAATTTTCAAATCGATTCGATCTTCGATCGATCGAATTTTTTTTCCGTGCACTTTGATCTTTCGATGCGTATGTGAGTGTATCAGAAAAGAATCGCGCGTGTTCACGAGAACGCGACGTAGGATGAAAATCTGCCTCTGGAGAACGCGTCCGAACAGTTCGGGGGTTCGGAGACAACTGAACCTGCCTGACTGCCGGCGGACTTTGGAATCGGTGAGCGGTTCGGTTCTCGGTTCGCCGACTCTCGGCTTCGCGGATTCGTACGCGCGAGTCGCGGTCGTCGTTTTCTCTCTGTACACAAGGTACATACACGGTGCGTCTTTACCTGTTCCTCCCCCACCTTCTTATTCACCTTCTTCTCCTACCCCTTTCCACCTCTCTCTCGCTCTTGCTATTTCTTCTGTGTCACTGGCCGTTGCCGCCGGGCCGTAGCCCCGTGAAGCACGCATGCACGTGCGTTTTAAATTTTGCACAAACGCACGAGACCAACTCGCGACACTTCAAATCGCGTATAATTAATGTATTTTCCCATCGCTTCCTTTCACTTATCCATCTCCAGCTCTCTTCTTCCTTCCACATACGTCTTGATTTTGTAATTTTAATACATAATTGCAAGTTTTAGATACAATTATATATAGATATTAATATTGTAGTTTAGATTTAATAATGTTACAAGAGATTTTCCTCAAAAGTCATATATAAAGCCACTTTCTCAAAAATAAATTATTTAATAAATTTAAAACAGTATATTTTCCGCGATAATTTTGCAAAAAATGCATTGATGATTTGATATGAAAAAGACGCATAAATTTACCAATAAATTTTGCTACGAATCTATTTTCGAAAACGCCATTACACGAAGCATCAAGCGGAAAATACGTAATAAGTCGCAAGACAGATGATTGGATATATTTTAATATTAATAATATTAAATCGCTTGAATGTTTATTTTTGATTGAAGTTTATTGCCGCGTAAATTTTTTAAAAAAAGATAAGCGTCTATTAATAACGATAATTATTATATAACATAGGTCATACTTTCATGAATAAAGCGAAAAAATATAATGGAAGTTCTGCAGCGGTAGAATAACTATATTTCACGTGTCATTGGGTCACTGTGTTTTCCAGGAATTTTTTCCTTAGTTAGCATGTAGATTACTTTCGGCAAAGCAAGCAGCCGACATGACAGAAGACATTGTTCAAATGTCAAGAATAAATAATTAAAGTCATCAAGCCACGTATTAAAGTGCTCCACCAATTTATTTTAGCACATTACATATATTATGGCGTTGCGTGACTATAAGAAAACAATAAAATAAAATGATAAAAATATAATCAAGACGTTTTAACAATTAAAATGTCCGATATAATCTCGTAATGATATATTTAAAATTTTTACACATTGAAAACAATTCTAAAAACTAAAATTTATTCTAAGATAGTGATATAGTTTTAGACAACCTTTTTCATACAATTTTGATCAATTTAAATTATTTTTATTTAAAGTTAAAAAATTGGATGACACATATGTCAGATATCTAAAATAGCTTTAAAATTAAAGGACTTTTGAAGGTAGTACGACGATAAATGTAAATGGCTTTGTGTCATAAAAATGTCAAAAATTGCTAAAATGGAGAATTACGGACTTATTGACTTAATTATAAATTAGAATAATATGGAATAATATAATATATTAATACTAAAAACGGAAAAAACATACCAATGTCTCAAAAACTGAACGAAAAGTCCTGCACAGCTCCTTACTGGTAACTCGTCTTCAGAGAACTAAAGTCCACTGGTCCCTATTCACACATCTGCACTGCTAACTCGTTTCTTTAGTTAGTGCATCGTTCGCGAAGAGAGCTTTCCCGTTATCGGTGATACCGCGACATAAGCACGCTTCAAAAATTGAACTCACCGGTTGCACCGCGTATTGTAGCCATGTGAATACTTGGAGTGTCCTGTCATACGCGATAGTACTTGAAGATTCGTTATTTCATGACATTGCATGAAAAAGCCTACGGCATCAAGTGAGCTACTGGTAGGACGTTATCCTTCTATTTTTGTATGCGCGAAATAAGTTCGTTAAAACAGGACGATATAATGCATATATCAAGCAAAAAATAATGATATAATGATATGTAAGATTTTTCTCTGTAAAACATGAATCAAGAGATAAATAAAAATAATTATAAAAAATAAAAAAATTGGTGCTTGATTAAAAACTATCCTGATGTTCTATTGAATCAGCGAACAGACACGTTTGCCCAAACCATATATGCATCCACATATTGTACTCCGAACAAGGTAGTAACATTTCCGGTATTCAATAAACTTTTTTAATCATAAATTATCTCTAAGAGATAAAAGATTTACTTTTATGTATTTCTAATTATATTACACAATCTTTCAAATATGATGTTAACATAAATATTTTGTATTTGATATTCTCTGTTGCATATCATTACTCATTATTTTCTAATAGTTTCGTAACTTCTCCTTAAACATAGTGATCAATTGCCGCAATAATTATCTTTTACTAACATATGTAGTTATTATTCATACACACAATTTACGCGTGACTGCTATAAATATCGTACTTTCTCATTTCAGTCGGACAAGAATTGTATATAAAGTGTGTTGGAGAAAGAATATTGATATTTTCTACACTCTCTCTCTTTTTTATACTTATGAAACTTATTGCTGATTTATATTAATACCAAATTACCCACATACCGAAGCGAAATCAGAAAGAACAGAAGCTGACTCTTCGCCGGACATGTGAATCAATCGAATGCCATCGGTTTTTTTCCACGAGTCTCGACAATAATCGATATTGGTGTACTGTATTTAAGCGCAAGGTGAAAGAGTCTTACTTATTTCAGATGCCGACTACGTACGCATACATCACTTCTCCTTGATTGTCGTCTTTCTTTGTCTTTTTTTTAGTAGTTGCCACTTTGGCATCGTATCGTTACTATCGCTAAATACACTTTGTAATCTTAAACAATCTAATGCAATCGCGCATATCGTTATTGCAAATCATCTTTTAATTTCATATTTTTAATTCTAGAATGTATAATAAATGCAATAAAAGAAAAAAGTTAAAATAAAATTTAATTATATATGTATATATATTAAGAAATATATAATATACATATATTTATACATAGTTGGAAAACTTAAATACTTCATAATCAATCTAGATATATATAATTAAGAAGAAAAAAAAATTTGATCAAAAATATGGAAAAAAGTGACAGCAATATTTATGAAGAAGAAGTTAATTATTATAGATTTTAAAAAAGATTTCTTTTAGGAATATGTAGAATTAATTTATTAATATTCGTTTACCGTTCTATCTCTGTATTATAACATAATATGTATAATTTTTAATCATATTATATTGTTATTTTTTTCATAAAAAATAAAATTAGTCGTATAAATTCCATAATTATATGAAAGGCATCATTGAATATGTTTCAATCAATATTTCTTCACGGGTTATTTTAATTCGTATCAATTCGTCTCATAAGGCAATTTATGTAAAAGCAATTCTTATCCTGAAAATCAGTGTAACTGACGACTTTCACCGAACGAAGCCGAAACTCTATTCTCTTGCGGCTCTATTTGCCGCGTGCAATCGAGCGAACAATACTTTCTCCATAACATTTTCCAGGACGACCGTCAAGAAAATATGCGAGTTTTTCAAACTGATGTCTATCTATCTGCTTATTTATCGAGTGCATTAATTTCGTCACTGTTATCATCGTTAGATTGGTACGTGATTATCGTGACTCGCACAGTGTCGTCACGTCAACGTCACAGCGCAAATAAATCGTAAAAAGTATCATCATTTCCAGCAGATCCGCTGGTTAAACAAGCTCCCGTCTAAGAATAATCTCGAGTTTATCAGTAGTCAGTTGTAAGTCAGTTTGAGAAGAGGATAAGGGTTTAATGACAAATGAGCGAATGGTATATGAGAAATTTCGCATGAATAACAAACGTCATAATCACCTGCTGGTTGAATCATATTTCTCATTGTTAACCATGCAACCAAATATGTATCTGCAGCTTAGTAATCGGCAGCCCTTGAGATGCAATTTTTAAACAGAATTCGTTGGTGCTTAACGAAAATGGAATTGTAAAGGCTGATATCTGATAGATATGAATATCCTTGTGATAAATTTTGGGCAGACAGATTCGTCACTTGCATATTATTACATATATATATATATCTGGTGTATTATCCGCAATTATCGATTAATTTAGTATGATTCAATTCTCTTATTTCATTTAATTCTTTGATTGCCGCGAGCAAATTATAATGAAAAAAAAAAATATGATGCCTTTCTATTTTAACTATGTATATGTTGTATAGTTTTTATATATTTATAACTTCAACGATTAATTTTAAATGTTGCACTTTATAAGAAATCAATGGTCAGAACATATTGTAGCGAAAGAAAGAAAGAAAGAGAGAGAGAGTTTATAGATATAGAACATTCATATTTAGAAATGTATCAAATTATATCTCGATGATAAATCGTCTCTCATTGCGTGTTCGATTTTGTCGTAATCTTTTTTACGACGGATTTACCATTCGACGAAGTAACAAGACACTTGACGAGTTATCGAACAATAGCTGCGTGCCAATAATGAGAGACAACGCGGCACGGGACTGTAGCCACGTGCAACAGCCGTGCAAATGCTAGTCACGTTGTTACACTCGTCTGATTTGTGAATAAGCTTTAGGAAAGAAAGATGCAAATTATTTCAAACAAAGAATTATTTGCAATGCACTTTAAAGCATCTTAAAAATGCCTCTCATGTCTCACATGGCATATTAATTACAACTATTCGACAAATGAGATCGCTATTTACTGATTTATCGATACCAGAATTAATTGCTTTGTTATTGCTTGAGAGATTGGAACGTATTATTATTCTAAAATATACAAATTTGACAAACGATATTCAAACTGATTTTCAAGCAAGTCAAAGGCATATATAATAGTTCAATTAATTGACAAGACTTTCGAGACTATCACATAAATAGATCGATTAATAAAAACATACGTTAATAAAGAAAGAATAATTATTTCCTTTTCTAATGTGCGCTCAAACTGAGAAATGTAATTGACAATGTTTAAGGAGCAAACATCTCACATTTGTTATTTAGGAAAAATGTGATACATATGGAAATAAATGTTAAACAAAAAAACACAGATGTAATTAAAATGCGGCGAAACGCGTTGCACGATTG